AGTTCTACAGCCGTAGGTCAGGGGAGGAAAGGGACAGAAAGCCTCATACCTGACCAGATCCATGAGTGATGCAAAACTGCCTCATGACAGCCTCTTTGGTAGACAAGGAGTGAGAATTGGCCTCACAGCAGTTCCTCACTAGCCTCTTGTGCTCTGTGTTCTGAGGATCCCAGGGTGTTCTGCCCATACCTAGATCAGCCTGCCCACGTGGTCTATGTGGGGACGTGCAAGGCAGCCAGAGTGCCATGGCAGAACCATTCCTCTGCACCAGATATCCTCCTTGCTTGCTCTCCCCAGCTATCACTAACTTCAAGACTGTTGAAAGACCACCTCCCGAGTAGCCTTCCCTAACTAGCTTGCATAAAATAGCACATCCATCACTCTCCACAACCCCACCCAGCTTTAGTTCTTGTCACTCCCTAACATTATGTTACACACCAATTTATTACTTTACTGTCTTTAGACCCCACCACGACATGACTCCTGAGGGAAAGAAACGTTGTATCCATTGCTGTCCCTACAATTATGTCACACATAACAAACGCTAACATTTGGGACGCCTGGATGAAATCTTAAAAAAAAACAAATGCTACCATTTATTGACCACATGAAACTACCACTGTTCCAGGTGTTTCCCATATTTTAACTCATTTAATGGGCTACTGCCTTTATTATCCCCCTTTTTATAGGCCAGGAGAGAGGTTTTAAGGGGTCCTGGGTATGGAGGTTGGAAGGCAGGACCTCCAGTGCCAGGCAAAGGGTAGTCCTTCTGCCTGGAAAAGCCAGAGGGGCCCTGAGATCTGTGATGGGGGCAGAGAAGCAGGATGGGATTCTAGGGCCAGTATCTGGAAAATAACAGTGTCAGATGCCAAGAAAGAGAAGCTAGCATTTATAGGACGGGGTTTCTTGAGGCCTTTGGAGTAGAAATGCCTGTGACTATGCAGAGGCCTTTGGGGGACAGGGTAGGCTAGCAGAAGATAGCTGATGGCTACCCACCTCCCATGCCAATGCTGAGGTCTGACAAACCACACCCCTCACACTTTTGTTATAGAAAATCTCGAACTTACAAGAGTGTTGATATAATGAACTTTCAAGTATCTATCAGAGAGATTCAACAATTATAAACACAAAGCATTTTTTCAAAATGCAGGCTTCACAAGCATTTGAGAGGTTTGGGCCAGTTGTTTTGTTAAGGTACAATGAAGTGGGGGCACCTGGGTGGCTCAGTTGGTTAAGCATCTGCCTTAGGCTCAGGTCATTATCTCCAAGTCCTGGGATCGAGTCCCACATCCCTCAGTGGAGAGCCTGCTTCTCCCTCTGCCTGCCACGCCCCTGCTTGTGCTCTGTCAAGTAAATAAAAATTAAAAAAAAATAGTTTATTTTATTCATTTGAGAGAGAGAGAGAGAGCGAGCGAGCACAAGCAGGGGGAAAGGCAGAGGGAGAGGGAGAAGCAGACTCCCTGCTGACCTGAGAGCCCGATATGGGCTCGATCCCAGGACCTGAAGATCATGACCTGAGCCGAAGGCAGACACTTAACCATCTGGGCCACCCAGGAGCCCCTAGTAAATAAAATCTTAAAAAAAAAAAAAAAGATAAAACGAAGTAGGAAACACCAGGACACTTTGCCCATTTCATTCATTAAGCCTTTCTTCCACTTACATAGACAAATGGGTGGACTGGACTCCAGTGAAGAAAAATCTACCTGTTACTATGGATTACAATCATAAGGGTTAAAAACAGAGACTGCAAATCTTGTGTTGACAACTATTAAGAACTAGAAAAAGCAAAGCAAAATTCCAAAGATGAGTTTTACTTAAAGGAAGCTTAAAATTGAGTTAAAAAAATTTGACTCGACATTGTACTAGGAACGTTTATACAGAATGCCACTGTCCTTGACAATTTAGAAGCCTTAACTTTCTTTTGTGTGTTCTCTGTATGTTAAGACCACCCATTAGGATCTGGGGCAGCTTGCCATAACCACTTTTTTGCAGTAGCTCTGGGGTGCTTGGCTGGCTTAGTCGGAAGAGCATGTGACTGTCTGAGGTTGTGAGTTTGAGCCCCACGATGGGTGTAGTGATTACTTAAAAAAAGAAATTTAAGGGGCACCTGGGTGGCTCAGATGATTAGGTGTCTGCCTTCAACTCAGGTCATGATCTCCAGGTCCTGGGATCGAGCCCCATGTTGGGCTCCCAGCTTGGCTGGGAGTCTGCTTCTCCCTCTCCCTCTGCCTCCCCCCCTGCTTATGTGCACACTCTAACGAATAAATAAGATCTTTAAAAAAAAATAAACTTAAAAAGATTATGAAAAGCTCCATGTCAGGTCTTGTACCCAATTTGAAAAAAACGTTTCCAGTTTCTCATATCTTTATGCACTCTGAATTATAAAGGATCACGGCCTTTAAGTTAGCCGGCGGGCAGCGGAAGAAAGCAGCTGGGCAGGGACAGGTTTTGTCCTGAGAAGCTGTCGTGGAACACTGGCTACTGATCATTACCCAATATGCCTTCTTACATACCTTCAGTATTCACAGCAGCTTATTTTGAAAAGCTTATTCCAAGTTTCCTACACCCCCAAATCCAGGAGTGTGTGGGGCAAGGGTATGGGTGTACTATCAGTAATTTGCCATGTCCTAAAATGTCCATCTGGTGGGTACTATTATTCCCATTTTACACATTGAACCGGAGGCAGAGAAATGAAACTGTGAAGCAGGATGTGAAAACTGTGTTTTCAACCCACATGAGGTGGGAGGGGTTAGGCCTTTGGATTTATTCTTGAAATGGGCAGGGGGTGGGGTGTCTTAAAGGTTTGGGTCAAAGTTTTTGGTCTAGGCAAGATCCAGGGCTTGAAAATACAAGTATTTGCAGAGCAGGGATCTAGTCTTCGCAGGCCTTGGGACAGAGGTTCTTTAGGAACCTCTGCATGGAGTTCCTGGTCTCCGTGGGTTAAGAGACGAGCATGCACACTAGTGAAATTCTGGTCAAACTGAAGCAGAGGACAAGTATTTTAAGGGGGCTTTGACTCCCATATCTGAAAATTTTGATTCAGCAATTGCAGTGAGAAGATCCTCTAAGCCTTTTTTTAAAGCAAATAATCAGCAAGAGACTGGGCCTTTCTGGGCTGGATTACAAGGGATCTTCTATATTTAAGTAAGCTCTATGCCCAAAGTGGGGCTTGAACTCACAACCAGGAGAATCAAGGATCACACGCTCTACCAACTGAGCCAGCCAGGCACCCCTACAAGGCACCTAACATCAGGAGAGCAGAGCAGGTGTAGAACACTGTGGTCTTCATTGACATCACTCAGGGATCACTTTGTTGCAGGAACTCTGCAGCTGATTATGGAATCTTGCCTCAAGCCACACCAAGGGTGAGGGCATTTCACTTCCCAACAGGCAGGGAGCAGGTACCCCCCACCATGGCCTACTTGCAGCGTGGTAATGGTGCTCCTCCTGCCAGGCCCCACTGCCTTGGCTCCCCAAAGGCCCAGCACAGAGGGCCTCCTCAAAGTACCCAATACCTAACCAGTCGTGGTAGCCACAATGCCCCTTTTCCTGGGCCAGTGGGCCAGTGAGGAGTTGTTAAAAGTTCTCTAGTCTCTACCCACCTGCCAAAGCAGATGTATGATTACTTGGGTGGAAGGGTCCTTGGAGCCTGCCCCAACTAGCTGGGACTGGGGAGGTAGGCTTCTAACACTGGGACTCTTCAAAAACAGGAACCTATAGTTTCAGTCAGTTCAGGAAACCGTAAAAACACCACAGACTGGGTGGCTTATCAATTTCTCAGTTCTGGAGGCTGAAGTCTATCAGGGTGCTAGTGTAGCTGAGCTCTGGTGAGTGCTTTCCCAGACTACCAACTTCTGGTATCCTCATGTGGCTGAGAACAGACGGAGGAAGTTTTCTTGTTGACTCATGAGGGCACCACCCTTCATGACCTTATCTAATCCTCATCACCCCTGCCCCCCCCCAAGGACCTCACCTCCTAATACCATCATATTGGGGTTTCAATACTGGACTTTTGAGGGAACACCTTGAGTTAACATGCTCCATGAGGAAATAAGGCCGTTAAAAATGTCCTGCAACTGGCGATCTGGTGGTACTTGACTTTTCCATCAACTAGGTGGAAGCCACTGACACAACTGATTAGATCTAAATTCCAAAAGGAGGGACAAAGCTAATAGGACTCCAGTGCAACCACCAGGACCAGGACCAGGACCAGGACCAGGACCAGAGAGTAGCAGTAGGACTGAGAAATGAAGACCAGCTACACGTGCAAAAGCAGGCCCAACCATTACCACTACCCTACCACCAAAGACCCTCATAGCACCAAAGACTGAATCCCTATGACTAAGATATTTGCTAACTATTCTCAAATGACTGTACATGCCTATTAAATGTACTTAACCCTCAAAAAATGCAAAATGCCCATGAGGCTGAGGCGCACAGGTTAAGTGTCCTACCCAAGGTCAAATATAGCTGGAGAACAGCAGAGACTTTGAATCCTGGAATCTGAATCCAGAGCTCTTAGAACCTTGTTTTCAAACCAGGATTCTTCCATGTTCCTCAAAGGGGAGTTTAGTACACTTCCTCCACCTCCCAACGTTTCAGAGTCAGAAGAAACTGGAAATGCTGTTTATGACAGAATTTAACTTCCACCAGGTGCTTGAATTCTCAGAACAATCCTGCAAAGGGCACCCACTGATGCTCTGAGAAGCTGGGGAAGACTCAACCCCAAGCGGTCGAATTCCCAAGCTGACACTGATCAAAACAATGGGACCAAGAGGCCATCTCAGGAAACCCAATTCCAGCAAGAGTATTTATTTCCTCTGTAACCCCTACCACCCCCACGTTTCACTTATACCCAAATGCAACCAAACTTTGAGCTGGAGAGATCTACTCTTATGGCAACTGCTGCCTACCCCCAACTACTTTCCTAAAAGTCTCCCCCCTTTATCTTCCATTTTTAGTTTGAAAACTGGGTTGAGCAAGGAAAAAACACGTATCAGTTGTTTTCATGTTTCAACTTTTTAATTAGCTCCGTGGACATCCTAAAATGCTAAATGAGACACAACAGAATATTTTTTCTTCCAGTACTAAAAAAAGGACATTCACAGTGAGTATTTTAAGAAATTTCTGTATACTTAGGGTGGTGACTTTGAATAAAAAAACCCACCTCTAATTACTTTGATTTCTTATACTTGCATTTGGAAATTTCTTCCTAATCAGGATAAACATTGTATACAGGCTTTTAAATGCCTATTTTTTTAAAAGCAGTCTGAACAAACATTTTTTGCCATGATCAGTAATCCTGAGAGTCCAAACTGAAAAACTGGAAAAAGGAAAAAATACCCAGACTCTACAAATGTCCCAGGATTAGTATTTAAAAGGGAGAAAATTTTAGAAAACACATGGAGCTTTCCAAAAGGTCTTTGTGACAAGCTACCTTGGGAGCTCAGTTCAAAAATAGAAGTTGATGTACTAAAACAGATGTGTCAGTGCAGCTCCAAAAATCTTTATAAATACAGCCATTTGGAAGGATGATCCTGGACCAGAAGTTTTATTCCTTGTGTATCTGAGAACAGTAAGAAGGGGGAGAATTGTAATGTTGGGAAGGCAGAGGCACACATGCTCACCTCCCAGGGTTGATAAGGATTGCTGAGCAATGCCGCTTCATCTCCTCCATGCCCAGCAAGAGATTACAAGGGAGACAAGTTTTTAGACATCCCCTCCCAACAGCAGACTAGCTCTGACAGGCACCTGAGAGCAAAGGAGGCCTAGGAATGGTGTCGGGTGGGCCAGGTGAACTAAGTGCAGGCAGGAGGAAAGGTTGAGTGGAACATGACAGGGCTGGTGGACAGAGGTCCGCTCAGTGGCAACATCTAAGCCTCACCTACATTAGGTGCACATGCCTCATCTCAGTTGTCGTAATTGTCTCTGTAATTTCCTCCTGAGTAGCGGTCATAACCACCCTGGCTTCTGGGAGAAAACAGACACAGCAGTTAGCACGGATATATCCTAGACACCTTAGTATTAAAAACCATACACATTTACACATCCTATCGTGTTCTGTATGTTATTATACGCACTTTAACGTGTAAAACAGATGTATCAAACATATGCAGTACAGAAACCACGTAATTACATGACATGTAACTCACATACAGCATATTAAACACTAACAATATAAACATAAAACCAACTCGACACGATAAACATGTTATTACCATCTACCATATTACAACTTCATTAACTTCCAATTTACTAGTGCATTATACAGAACTCAAAACGTACTGAGTGACATACTTAAGGTTTCATTATAATTTGTAAAAGCTAACTGTTAACACCAAAATGAGATATGTATGAACTCTTAGGCAGCTGAGCTCTTAAAAAGAAAGCAGCACCACCAGAGTACCCCAATCCCTTGGCTACCCACCTGCCACCATAGTCTCTGGACCTTCCATATCCATACCCATATCCTCCAGGTCGACTGTCATATCTGCCACTCCCATAGCCCTGGTCCCCACCACCTATAGCAGATTAAGAAAAAGTTTAAAGGCAGCTGTCCAGATGTAAGTCACTAATAAGCCACTTTCCCCCATATCCAAACTTACCACTGCACTTACCTCTAGAGTAGCTGCGACCACGCCCATGGGCCCCAAAGGCACCCCCTCTAGTTCCCCTGGCCGACTTGCCCGCGTGATCCACACGGATCTGGCGACCATCCAGAGACTACGTGTGGGGAGACACAAGGAGGATGGGTTAGTGGTCAAACAGGGCAGTAGTAAGGGAAGAATGGGTAGGGCAGGTGGGCAAAAGAGCCCAGAAACTGCTGCTGGGCACCAGGTTCTGGGTGCCACGTTCGAGAACAAGCTCCTTTGACCAGAATGGTTTTATCAGGAGCTATAGAATCCCACAAAATGACCTAAATCCACCGTGTTCCCCCTGCTACTACTTACATCTTGACTGAACTCAGGCTGAGTTCTCCTCCCCACTCCTATAAGCTGCCCCACTATTAGGGCTAGATAGACACCTCTCTTGGTTTGAGACTTCAGAGTCCATCCCAGAAGACTCACGAGGTCCTCTCCGGGCCAGGCCCGCAGGTCTGCAGACTCTACTACCTAAGCCCAGGGCAGGTCAACCATCCACAGGTGGCTTCTCGGCCTCATGCAGGACCAGTCGTCGCCTCCCAGGCAGCCCGGCTCTGTCTGCCGCTGCCCTCCACCCCCTAGAACAGAAGGCAGTCATGCTCCTGTGAGTGGGCACTGCGGGGTTTGGTGGCCGCGCTGCCCCTAGCAGACACAGAGGGAAAAACAGAAAGAATGGTGGAAGTGGCAGATGGGGGCAGGGCCCCTATGTAGGTAGGAGACCTCACCTCTCCATTCATGGCTCTCATTGCATCTGAGGCATGCTCTGGATTGGTGAAGGTGATGAAACCAAAACCCCGGGATCGCTGAGTCTCCCGGTCCTTGACAACGACCACTGGATAAAAGAGAGAATGTGGGTAAGAAGAACATAAGCGACAAAGGGTGTCATATAGAGGACGGACCCCCTCCCACCAATCCTCAATTGAAAAGTTACGGGGTTCTCGTAAGACTACACCTTAGACCTAGGAACAGAAAAAGGAGTATGTGAAAGCCTAGGGTCCTGATTTTTCCTTCCATTTCTTGAAACGTAAGGGCCCCAGACTTTCACCAATACCCAGATCATCATACATCTGGCCCATGTCTCACCCTCGGAAATAGGACCGAAGCTGCTGAAGTGGTCTTCCAGAGCCTGCTCATCGGTGTTGAAGTTGAGCCCTCCCACGAAAAGCTTCCCTTCTTCAGAAGACATGGCAGCGAATTCGAGGACTGCTGAGAGAGTACGAAAAGGGGTGGGAGAAACCGTGGAGATGAGAGAAAAAAGCAGGAGCAAGAAAGGATTAAGAAATGAAGACCACAGAAAGAAAGAAACAAAGAGGCGACTGCAGACCAAAAAGAAAAGCAGAAAAGGCGGGAATTGGAGGTGCCGCATCAGGGAGGCAGCCATTTGGGGGCGACCTTCGCGCATGCCCATATCACCACCACCACGCCCGTCATTTTGTGCCGCTGCGCAAGTCCAGAACACCCTCGCGTTCTCTCTGCGCCCGCAGAGTAAGATGGCGGCGGTCACGTGGGGGGGGGGAAGGGCGCCCGCAAATCTCGGCTGTCGCGCGGTCACTCCCGCCACCGACGTCGCCAGTCCTTCCCAGCATTCCTCGCACTCAGATATAAGGCGCCAGCCTCCCACCAACAGAAAAGTGTCACCTCTCAGCACGGGACCCGCCCACTCGGGAGAAGCCCAAGCCTACGTGTCAGAAGCCGCTGCTCTCCCCACTCGCGCACCTAGCTCCTGGCCGGCGCGGCGCACATCAGTGAGGCGAGAAGCAGCCGGTTCACAAGACATGTGCTGCTTACCTGCAAATTAAGCAAAAAGACCAGAAGAAGAGCTACGGTCGAGGAGCGCAGAGACTGGGAAGATTGCCGCGCGGGAAGACGCTTGATAAAGCGTACGTAGCGTACACGTCACGAAACGTCCCCCCCGCGCGCACCAGCGTTCATGCTTATTGGCTGAAGCCAGCAAGGGGGTGGGAGGAAGGGACGGCAGAGGAAACGGACCAATAAGCTCAGCATGCTTCCGGGAATGGAGGCGAGCCTTGTGCGGTTGGTGCACCCTGGGGTCGTCTACGTTCGCTGGCCCAACCATCTTCTCACTTATGCGCACGAACCTTTTCGCTCTCACGCCCCTTTCCGGCCCTGACATCACCCCGCCATCCTTGACGTCATATTCCCCCATTGGTTCTGGCGTCTTCCTCACCGTCTCAGTCATTTTCCTGTAGGTCCCCAAGACGTAATTACTGCAACCTCCTTCACCTCCCAGTCCTCTCATATCCCTCAAGGGCCCGATGTTTTATTCCCCACTTTCCCTGTCGTCCTAACCCTTCACAGTCCTTAACGTCAGATCCTGCATTTTCTCAGTGTCTGATGCCGATCCCTACATTTTCTTCCCTGCCCAGCATCTAGCCGCCTGTTCTGGGATCCTTTTGCCTGGCGTCATTCCTTCTCATTTCTGACTTCAGCCCTCCTCCTTATCTGACAGCCTCCTGAAGCCAGTCTCTTGATTTCCCTGCCAGTAGACTGCCCGAGATGCTTTCTACAAAACAGGATGCTCCAATCTTCAGAGGGAGTAAATTCCAATCCACAGAACAAGGGTTCCTGAGCCCTTGATCCACAGAAAAGACTTTCACAGTACACAGTGGACTTACCCAAAGCAAGGAGGGGCTGAGCTCACTGCCCACGATTTGGTCTTGTCCAGCTTTCAAAGGGTGTCTAAGCTCCCCGTCAAGGAAGACTGGGTTAGTCCGCTCTCAGAAACTCTACATTTCTTATCCATAGGATGGACTTGTCCAGCTTTCTAAGGGTCAGCCCTCCAAATACAGACTAGATTTGTTAACTTTCGGAGTACACAATTGTATGCATCCACAAAATGAACTTGTCTGACTTTTGCCATATCCAGGCCTCCTATGCCCAGGATGGACATGATTAGATTTCACATTGTGCATATGCATAATGGTCTTAGGTAGCCTTTGGAGAATCTGAGCCCCCATGCAAAAAAGGAGTACGCGCTTGCCTCTCAAAGTGTCTGAGCTCTGATCATACCCGACAGTTCATGACACATCCTCATTGTTGTTCCATGAAAAGCCCCTCATTTTATTTATTCTCTTTTAATCCTGCACCCAACTTTTGTTCTCTTCCTTCCACAGCTAACCATTTTATTGGGTTTAACGTGTACTTTTTTCAACCTTTCTTTCCTGATAAATGTATTTAAAGCTACAGGTTTCTTGTGTTAACTGATCTTGCTGTGTCCTACAAATTTTGCATGTAGTGTTTTTATGTTATTTAGTTGTAAATATTTCCTTTTTTAACATTTTATTTTTTTTAAGATTCTTATGTATTTATTTATTTGGGATAGAGAGCATGGGGGCGGGGGGAGCAGGGCAGGGAGGGGCAGAGGAAGAGGGAAAGAGAGAATCCCAAGGAGAATCCCCACCAAGCATGGGGCCTTATGTGGGGCTCAACACTTGGACCCTGAGATCATGACCTGAATCATGAAATCAAGTGTCGGATGCTTAACTGACTGAGCCACCCAAGCATCCTTATTTATTTATATTTTAAAGTAAGCTCTATGCCCAACATGGGGTTTGAACTCTCGACCCCAAGATCAAGAGTCCCATGCTCTATGGACTGAGCCAGCCAGGTACCCCTAGTTGTAAATCTTTTTTTTTTTTTTTAAGTTTTATTTGTTTGAGCGGGAGAGGAAGAGAACGAACACAGGGAGGGGCAGAGGGAGAGAAAAACTTTAGCAGACTTCTTGCTGAGCTTGGAGCCCTACTCGGGGCTTGACCTCAAGACCCTGAGGTCATGACCTGAGCTGAAACCAAGAGTCAGATGCTTAACCAGCTGCACCACCCAGGGCCCCCTTTCTTTTTTTAATATTTTTATTTATTTATTTATTTATTTATTTATTTATTTAGATTTATTTGAGAGAGAGTGAGTGCATGAGCAGGGGGGAGAGGCAGAGGGAGAGGGAGAAGCAGACTCCCCGCCGAGCAGGGAGCCCAATGCAGGACTCGATCGGAGGACCCCAAGATCATGACCTGAGCTGAAGGCAGATGCTCACCCAGATGCTGCTTAGTTGTAAATATTTCTAAAGTTCCTTTATGATTTCTTCTTTCATCTAAGGGTTATTTAGTAATGTTAGTTTCCAAAGATTTTTTTTTTTTTAGCTTTTTGCTGTGCTAATTTCATTGTATTATGGTCAGAGATAATGCTTAATATTGATACTTTTGAATTCACCGAGGCGTTAGTGCCCTAACGTGGTCTATTTTTGTAACTGTTTAAGTGTAAGCATAAAAGTAGTCTTCTCCAGGGGCGCCTGGGTGGCTCAGTCGTTAAGCATCTGCCTTCGGCTCAGGTCATGATCCCAGGGTCCTGGGATCGAGCCCCGCATCGGGCTCTCTGCTTTGCAGGAAGCCTGCTTCTCCCTCTCCCACTCCCCTTGCTTGTGTTCCTGCTCTTGCTCTCTCTCTCTCTCTGTCAAATAAATAAAATCTTTAAAAAAAAAAAGTAGTCTCCGTTTGTTAAGTGTGGGTTATATAGGAATGTGTTCTTATATATATATGTTAATATATAAATATTATATATTATACATATATATGAAATATCAAGCTTAAAAATGTGTTGTTCATGGGTGCTTGGGTGGCTCAGTTGGTTAAGTGTCTGCCTTTGGCTCAGGTCATGATCCTGGGGTCCTGGGATCGAGCCTGTGTCAGGTTCAGTGCTCAGCAGGAAGTCTGCTTCCTGCTTCTCCCTCTGCTCCCCCCACTTGTGCGCTAATAAAAAAATCTTAAAAAAATTTATTGTTCAGTGCTCCTTAGGTGTATATGTTTGTGGTAGACATATCTTCCTGTCAATGAGTGTATGTCCTTCTTTGTCTTTTGTGATCTTAAATTTTATTAACTATTGGGATGGCTATCCCAGCTTTCTTTGGGCTTTTATTAATGTGCTCTATCCCCTCTTCATCCTTTCATTTTCAACATTTCCCAATCTTTGCGTGGGTGTTGTTGGACCTTTTTTTTTTTTTAATCCATTGAGGGTCTCGGTGTTCTAAATTTTTTTTTTTGATGTCGTGTTCCATGATTCATTGTTTGCATATAACACCCAGTGCTCCATTCAATACGTGCCCTCCTTAATACCCATCACCAGGCTAACCCATCCCCCCACTCCGTTCTAAATATTTTTTGTGATTGCTATTTATAGTAAAACTTCTGACATCCCATTTCATATTCTCCATTTATAGCATTTTTCTGTTCCCTTTTTTCCTATCATACACCTAATATTTTCTTTAGGTCCCTTTTATATCACTTGTTCTGGTTTTATATTCTACTTTTATCTCTTACTTATTGTATTTACTTCAAATTCTTCATGTGTGTCCCAATACTTCTGCTTTGGATATTATATGTCACCCGGTATGGTAGCCAGCCTCCAATATAGCACCTGATGATCCCTGCCTGCTGGTATTCACGTCCTGTGTAGTTCCTTCCCATGTTGTCCTAGGGTTGGTCGGCGTGACCAAGGAAATATAGCAGTAGTGATGGTATGTCATTTCTGAGGTTGAGTTATAATAGATGCTACAGTTCCGTCTTGCTCATGGTCTCCTGCCTGCTTGTTGGGACCACGTGTTGTGAGGAGCTCTGTGGAGAGGCTCAGGTGGTGAAAAACTGAAGCCTCCTCCCAACAGCCTCCTGAGTGGGCCATGTTGGAGGTGGGTCCTTTAGCCAAGCGGTCATGTCTTCAGTCCTGACAACTTGCCTGAAACCTCAGATGAGACTGAGTCAAAACCACCCAGCTGAGTGGCTCCCAGATTCCTGACACTCCAGAAACTGAGAAAATAAATGTTTGTTGTTTTAAGCTGCCAAGTTTGGGGATCATTTGTTACATGGCAGTAGATACCTAATACCTCCAGTTTAATTTTCTCTGGAGGCGGTTATGCTGCCCCGGTGTCTAGTCGTTTCGGTGGTGAGCTCATGTTCCCCGGATGGGAGCAGCTACTGTGGCATGTACAATGTATTGAGGGAAGGCTGAAGGCCAGACTGGACTCTGCTAAACCCCCAGGAGTTCAAAGTGTAAAGAGACGGGTGGGGAGATGAACCAGAGGGTGGGCAGCCCCGGGCACCACAGGAGAGCTACCACTCTCATCTGCTAGTGCACCGCTTGGCAGTTCCTCTGATAGGAGTTTCATCTTTAAACTCCAAGAGGAGGCCATCTCCCTAAGTGTCACCAGCAGCCCTGGTGTCTGGAGGGGGGCGGGTGGGAGAATGATTGCCTCTGGCTGCTCATTTCCTCCCCTCAACAGGGTTCTTGCTGCCCTGATAGTAGCCCCCCCCCCACCCCGACAACTGTAAGTGGTTTGGATGACGTCTGCAGTGAGGGGCAGACAAGGACCTTCCCAACACGACATGGGGGAGAGGTTAAGAGCCAGAATTTAAAGCTATCCTGTATTTGCTGCCTTCAGCCATTGCCACTCAAAATGTAGGCCATTTAGAGACAGCCTTCCATTTTCCCATAGGTCTCCATAGCTGTGCTGCGGTTTCTGGAACTCACATTTCCCTCTGTAGTTTCTCCAGGGTTGCTTTTGGGCAAGGGAGTCAGTGCCTTGTGCTGTTTGCCACTATGGCAGGAACTAGAAGCCCCAAGTATTCTCGGGGACTAATAAGAGGTTTCTGCCCTTCAGCGTCTCTGAGCTTCCCAGTCACAGAAAGGACTCCTTTGACCCTCAGAGGTCCCAAGCTGCCATACACAGAATTGACGTGTCTGGCCCCTCAAATATCTGAGCTCATCAATCACAGAATGCACCCAGAGGGTATCAGCTGGTGCCTGATAAAGGGGCCAGTTCAGGTCCTCAGAGGGCCAGATACCCTCTTATCTTGGACGGCCCTTGGATGGGATGTGTGTGTCTGAGCACCTTTCCGT